TGGGAAGGCAGAAGCCAGAAATGTATTTTGGTTCTGTCCTGTTTGCTCGTGGCTATGACTGTGATGAGGCAGCGGAGCACTTTGAGTGACACACTGCTCCAGCTGCGGTGTTCAAGGGAACGTTTCCGCAGGTCCTTCCTCCCGGCATATACCCATGCACATTTTGCACATCTTTTATTGTTTGACAGTGACTATGAGCATATTTTGCTTACTCTATTTATTTGATTTTGTATTGCTGTACTTGTTTTAATTTTCCGTCTAGTCCGATGTCTGTTCTTGCTCGTCTTGGGCTGGGCTGCTGTAACGCCTCAGTTTCCCTTCGGGATCAATAACTCATCTCGTCTCATCTCTCTATTGTAAAAACCTTCTGGACTGATTTGCAAACTTATATAAAAAAGAGGCGAATATTAATCATATTTAAGGAAACAGACGTGATGTTGAACTTCAATCCCATTGGAACTAAACGAAAATATATTTTGTAATTGACGATTATTATACCGGGACGTTATTCTACTCAGGAAGAGTCCTGTGTCTGAACATAGATGTGAGGGCGTATTTGTAGACTGTTTCGAAATGTGAAAACATGAAAGCGGTGCGGACCTTATCTCTATTTACTCTGTTTAAACGATGTTATCGATATGTTTTACGAACTCTTGTTTATACTGTATTTCCTTTTGTTGTTTAAATAAAAAAAAGACTGTGGATCGGGGCTCAGACACGATGCTGTAAGATCTGTATCTTTTCCCAGATCGATGAGCACCAATGAGTCTTTTTTACTGGGGTTACTGGTAATCTCTCTTGAGCGGGCCGCGTCGTGCCTCGAGTCTGAGGCGAAAACGTCACTGTTATGATAAGAGCTAAATTTTGTGAGTTTGACATATGTTTGTAAAATATTTTAAAATATTTTATTTAAACACCAGAAATACAAAAAATGAGACAGAATAATGAAATATATACAGAAATAGACACTTCAAAGCCAGAGGAATCCACAGTTGTAAAAACTAAAAATTATACTTATTAGATATATCTTTTACAAAGGTCTGGCACGGCCGGATCGACATGACGTCAATAATCTGCGACTTTTCCCGTTCTTCTCAAAGGAAGGAGGTTACTTCCTCCCTCGGCGGCGCTGTTTATCTACGTCACTTCCTCTTGTTTGCGCATTGTGGCGCTGTAATAATTCACGTCGTGAGCACAGCTGTAAAATAAAGGTAAATAATATTACATATCAGTACTAATGATAAGCACAATCGTACGGAATTCTCATTGGGTCTGTCCTCATGTTTTTTTCTGTTTGGTGCTGTGAAAGTAACTCTGGATAGTAATACTGTTGGAGCTGTGTGATCATCTCCAGTAAATACTGGAGAGATTCAGAAATTAAAGAGACCTACTGTCACTTCAAAGTACACTTGTCTGTTGGGATTACATTCAGATTGTTATTCTGTGGTTAATCATGTTATTGAATCGTTAAATCAGTCAGTGCGTCTGTATTAACCCCTCTTTCTCTC